GGGGGGGGGGGGGAACCTGATTCCTGGTCATCTCAGAACAGACAGTCCCCTCCCAAGGGAGACACGTTTTGCCCCGAACGGAGAAATTAATACACCGACTAACCTCTCTCACTCTTATTATTCTCTTCTTACCTTTCCCCTTCATGCACTCAAAAATCATTTGTTCGATTATAACTCCTTCCCTCCTTTGAAGGACGACAATGCTATGAACATCTCAAAAACAGATGTTTTTTTCACATTTTGTTTTAGTACATACTGTATGCTCTTGACATATCCTCCGGCCTGTTGTTTTTAATACGATACCTTATTTCCCCAAAAATCCATCATCTGCCCGGATGAATTGCCCTTGAGCAAGACACGGGATCCCTTCCAGCAGCAGGGCTGCTGTTTTGATAGGGGCCAATTGAAATAAAGTTTTCAGAGATCGATCACGTTATTATCATTTATACTTAGCATCCAAAATCAAGCTCCCTCTTATTGCTTCTTGTCCTCTGTGTCACATACTTGTGTAAGTGGGTAGCAAACCACTTCTGTTAAAAATAAATCTACAGTGGGGCAGGCAAGGAGGTTAACGCAGTGGCTGCAGAATGTGACAAGCCACTGAAAGAGACGTCAGGAAACATGAGACCTGTAGGTGGACTGTGACACTCAGCAGGTGTAAGACAAGTGGAAAGACCTTAACATTTTTAACATAAAGGCATCTATATCTGGTGTTATTAGTGTAATTAAGTCAGCTAAATTAAATGTAAATAGAAGAAAATTGGAAGCCGCATTTGGAAATAATCCTTTTTTTTAAAAGTCTTTCAAACTAACCTTTATTATTAAGGTTGCTTGTTTTTTTTTACAAAAACTTTCAAAATAACAGAAAAGCAATTCATCTTTAGCGTATTTTCAACTTGGAAGACAAGGTTCTTTGGAATGACACTTATGCGTGTTTTAACTTATGCGGTTTTTATTGAATGTAGTCACAGGAAACAGCACCACCCCGTTTATGTGACCATTATTACAAATTCATGAATTTATTTATGTCTTTATCCTCCGCATTATTCACATCTTGCATATGCTTAAACGCAAGTATAGCCCTTTAAGAGAAGACATGACCAGCCTTGCAGGACTGAGAGGACGGAGGGGGAAAAGATAGAGGGGCAGTGAGGGAGGGGAAGTCAATTAGGCAGGGCAGTATCACAAATGAGAGATTATATTCCCACTCGGGAGGAAAGAGAAGGAGGGAATGATGGAAGAGAGAGAGACTGACGGGAGAAGAAAAGGCATTTGGGCCATAAAGGATTCTTAATGGAGCAGAATTTACACATCCTGCTGAGGTGAACAGATAAAAAAACAGCACGAGCATATGAACAACAAGCATCCAATCTGCAGTCCTTCGCAGGTTAAAAACCTAACAGAAAGTGGCTTTCTCGCTTCACCCTTTATGGTGCTACTCCACTCTTCTTTCTCTCTTACTTAGTCATCAATAAAAACACATTCAGGCACTGACTTAACAAGCAAACAGCAAGACAAAAAGCTATTTTCTGACGCTACTTAGACCATTAATAAATAAAAAAACCACCAAATGCGTCAGTGGTTTTTTCGAGGATGCCAAACGGCGGAGTGGCAATTTTAGTGGATTTTGTGTTGCATGGTTGAAGACCTGGAAAAGCAGACCAGACTGTTTCCATGACCCAGGTGAGAAAGTAGATTAGCTCAGAGCGGGTTCAGAGGGAAGGAAAACTGCAAGGATAGAGTGAACACATTCAATCAACAAGCTGTCTGGGCTAAATGAGTTTAATAATGTCACAAAGGCAATTCACCTTTATTGAAAAGCTTGCATTCTGTGTGCAGCAATGTTCGCACAAAAGACTTGTGAAGAATTAACCGTAGCCATAAAGACAGTCGATATTTCAAAGCCACTTTGACCAAACTATCAGTGGAGAGGTTATTGAGAGCATTAGGCTGTGAGTCCTGTTGTGGGTATCTCCCTCAGCATCTATAAATAATGTGGCTTTAGGCGCAAGCTTTCATAAACAGAAGCCATCACGTGTGCTTCTGCCATAAAAGGTTAAAGTGAAGGGATTCCCACACGCCATGGGGACTTTATCTGGCCAACATTTATATGAAATGAGAAGTAAAGAAATAAAGTAAAGAAAATAAAGAAGTCTGTGTCTGACAGAAAAAAAGATTTACAAGCACTAAAGTGTTCTCTCGTACATTAAATTACTCGATAGTGATGTGCATTTGTTTAAATGTACATCCAAAATGTGCAGCTTGTGAGAAAAACATCTTAAAGTGTTGATCAAGTGATTAAGAATTGAATTTGCATGAAGTTGGGTGACTCATGAAACATATTGCGGACTAAAATGGGCCTTTATGGCTAAATCCAGCACAATTATGGACGGACTCAAATGCTCATGATATTTAATGTGCGCTGTCCCTTCTTAAATAAATAAATACAAATGTAAAACAAATACTTGAAAAGACATTTCTCTTTAATCCACTAATAGCGAAGAAACCTGAGCTCAAGTCCAAGAACTCCATGTTGTAATTTCCCTCCACATTTCTGCTCTTTAGCTCTGTAAGACATCAATAATATATGACCAGTATATTATTAATCACAATTAATCACTTTGGCTGGTCAGTGCTCTGTCTTCACTGCTTTTCCTGTCCGTCCACATGCTGTTACTGTATATTCAGGCTGGGGTCCAGTGAATCTCTGTACCGAGCCAGAGACTCAGACAGAGTATGGCAGGCAAAGCCAAGATCAAGACACGACATGGTTTGTTGGGTTTCCACAGTGCTGGTAATAGAGACTGGTAGTTTTAGACTGGAGTTCAACAGCCCCAAAGGACCTCCTGCTGGGATAAATTACGATGGGCAAAAACATGCGGCCTCATGTGATGTCTATATGTGGCGCTGCCTATGGTGGAAATGGGTAAGCGGTCAGAGGTGAGGGTAAACACTGAAACTGATATCTTTGAATGTTGTCGCCCATTTACCAAGCTCATATGAAGGTTTACAGATGAAAGGACCAACAGAACATATTACCAAAAGGTCTAGACATTTGAACAAAAGGTAATTACAGTTAACAATTACTACCTGGACAGACATCATGGAGCACCCTTCTCTTCATTTTGGTGCTGATCTGGAGCGCGTATCAGCAGAATCTAAAGGACTGTTCATGTGAAGAGAGCGTATATTATATACATTAATAATGCAGGTATTTTGAGGAAGACACTCTGCTATCCAACTGTTTTATCACAGAAAGCCAATTTTAGAAAGCTTGTGATTTGCCTACTGGTCAAGAAAAATGTTTTGTGATTCAATGAAACTCAAATAACATGCTTCCTATGGTTAGAGCGGTTTTGGCTTTAAAGTTCAATTGTCCCCTGAACAGAGAGCGATTGTTTGGTCCTTCCAAGAGTTTGAGTTAGGAGTTCACACCAACCAAAACAAACTTTACCAAGGTTGTAAATGCGTGCTTAATATCGTTGGGTTTCCAACTGCAGGTCTGACAAAAGTAGATATTTTAAATGTCAGCCTGTCTTTTGGGGAAATGTGTTTGTGATTTGCACAATTTCTTTTTACTTTTATGACACTGAACAATGAATCAAGAATATAATATGACAGAGTAATCAATAATGAAAATGAATCATTGGTTGCAGTCATTACCAATAGCTCTTCCAAAATACAGACAGATAATCATAAGTACAATATAATGAGGTATTTGTCTAAACTATACAGAAACAAATGTTGTTGCTTTGCTGCTGGTGTTTGTACAAACTTTAACAGACTTAACAAGCTCAATTAACAAGCTCAGACAAGCAGACTGACCCTCCCGCTGGTAGTTTAACAGCACGTGTAACAAAAATAAGGGATTCAAAGGTGACAAAAAAGGTCTTGAGCTTGAGTGAACGGACAAAACCTAGACAAGCGGCACTTAACATTTCCTAAACGCATCGTTTGAACCAGAGGCTTTGCACACGCAAGAACCTGCTGCGTCGTCTGAGCAACCGATCGGGTTGGTGGACAGAGGAATTCTTTTTTTACAGATCCTCAAAAGCTTCCGAGAACACTTTTATCCTTTTTAACAACTTTGTGCGTCTTTACAACCACCTCCGTCCCTTTCCTTGGTAGAATAGAAAACAAGGCTTTTAGTAGTCTGTTCACCTGACTACTGCTGGAGAGGAACTAAGAAGACAGGAGTAGAGAGGAGAAGAACTGAATTAGCATACAGCTGTAACACAGTGAGTTTTTGAAGAGCATCCGGATATAAAACCAGTGCTTGAATTGGAATAAAAAAGGGGTGCCATTACTCTAAATCAGCAACTGTTTAATTTCCATTTTATTTATACAGCCAAAAAAACAAGAATTTGGCTCAAAGGTCTTTACAATCTGTACAACATACGACTCCCTCTATCCTTATCCTCATATCTTTGAGTTTCCGTTACGGCCTCGTGTGAACGAACGGGCTATACGAAAGAGAAAATAGCGGATACAACCGTTTGCGTTATCGTGTAAACAGCACCTAAGAGGATGGATCTTATGTGCAGCTGTGACAGCACCAAGGACGGATGAGGAGTGTGGAGGGACTAAAGGGGGTGCCCGTGGAAAGACATTACAGCGGAGAGCTACTTCACCCCTTTCCTAAACATGCTTCGACACACACATGTGACAAGACGCTCTCTAAAAGCAACGCATACAGTATGTTTCAGCATCCACCATTACAATGCAGGACTAATTCAAGGATCAAGGGAAGTTATCACAGAGCCCAACACAGCGGTATTTGGCTCAATGTAATTACAATAGATCTACGCCTCCTTAATTGAGCTACATCATACAAAGAATTTCCTCACACATGGCGCAGCTCTCAGAATAGGGAGCGCTTCACATGTAATTATTCATAACAAATGCACATCTCAGGGTGATGCAATAACATGGGAATTATGCACTCAGACATATGTGCACTCAAATATGCCATGTCATGGATATTAAAAAAAGATTTTAGTCCCAGGTACAATTTGTAATCTGTTCAAAGAAGGAAGGATTCTAGGCAAAAAAAAATAGGGTTTAAGCAAATTGAATTTGGAAGTAATTAGCATAAACATAAATAAATGACACAAGTTGTGGGAGAGTTTGTTAACACCATTTTTATATAGTTTTTCTGTT